CTTCTCCGGTAAGCTGGAAGCATCCGCTAACATCTAAATGCGAAATGTCCACCACCATACCACTGTCCAGCAATGCTAAGAGTCCCTCATCTGTCACTCTCCAGCACCCTGAGAGGTTCAAGCTAGTAAGCTGTATCTTTCTCACACCATTATCAAATTTCTCATATCTTGGGTCATAGAAACTCTGCTGCATGAAATTACAGGTATTCACACTCCTTGTTTCATACTCTGGTCTTCTGCAGGAAAGGTTTCCCTGCAAACCTGGGGGTGAGCTGTAGTTTCCCATGTAACAGCAAATCTCCTCAATGTCTTGCTCATTTGCTCTTAGACCAGTATTGGATATGCCATTTCCTTGGACAGTTTCCTGGGGGAAAGGCATAGAATTTTTCTTTCGAGCTTTCTTCTGAGTATTGTTACTCTTCTTGACATTTTTACTGTTATTGTAGATTGACTTTCCTCCTCCTGCCAACCCCTGGAGCGGAAGGTCCCCAGAGAATATTCCATTTGGAACATTTCTCCTCCCAGGGCAAAAGCAGCCCCCCATGGCCCCACACTGCCGACACACCTCAGTCTCAAAAGGTGAAGCAAAAACCTCATTCCTCAGACCTACATTGTAAGCTAAAGGATTGATGTCATAGGGGCAATACAAGCTACCTTTGACCATAGGGCAATGTGCAGGGTAAGCACACTGTGCAAGACATTCCAAGGCTGAATCATCAATGAGTTCACATCCTTGCAGGTCTAAGTTTTTGAGGCACTGCAGGGATCCTTGAAACCATAACCTGTAGAGATTTCAGAACAACATTCAGATGAAAGTGTTTGGCATAATTCCCCAACCTAATTTTTAATATCAGTAAACATATTCATGTGGAAATTAGCATTGACACTGGAAAGTCATCAACAGTGTATATGACATATGGTTTAAAGGTTATGCCCAGAGTTAAGAAATATTTGTTTGTTTTTTAACTTACTCTTTGGTTTCATATGATGAACTTTATCAACAAGTGAAATCAATATGATGAGTAGTGTTGACAGTTTCCATTCCTAGTGTCACGGCAACACAACAAAGTTATACGAAAAATGCAAGATGCCCAGATAATATCACAGAAACACTGCATCTCTTTAACCCCTTGGTGCCGGGTATGACGTGTACGTACGTGCTATGCCCACAGTGAGTACTTGTTTGATTGTTTTTACGCATAGATGGCAACACTTGTACTAACTCCCCAATGAGCCAGTTACGAGTACCGCCCGTCTCGCCATTTTACCCGTTTCTTTGATTTACGAAATATTTTACGTAATCTTGTTTTGCTGTTACTAATGTTAAAAAAAAAATATAAAAATTATAATGTTTATCATAAAAATAACACCATCGATCTTCATAGCGCTAGTGAAAAATACGTTTTTACCGCCATTTAAATCAGGCGCTAGCAGAGCCATCTATCGGCAGACATTTCACGAAAAACATAGAAAGTGGGCACAATATTTTCCCCATTTTTTGTTCATTTTCCCCGGCACCATTGGGTTAAGTTATTGATGTATCAGATATCCACATACACATCTGAATCTGTGGAGTAAAAATCTACACACATACATATCCACAGATTTCACAATACTTGAAATCCACACTCATATCTACATACACAGTTTTTAATGATAAAACTTTCCCAATCCTATCCACATTCACAAAGCACACATGCAGATATTGCCGACATGCAGACATTTTCTTTTTCTTCTCTTGTTTGTAGTTCCCTCCTCTCACTCTCACCCACTCATGCACTCCCTCTGCTAGGCATTGGAGTAGGTAACTAATGGATGTCATTATGTTAAGTGGTGTCCACACACGAATCATTTACATAACTCTAAATATTATTATCTATTACCAGGCATCTGCATCACTATAACTTTTGATTTATTAATTAGCATATATATTAGACTTCCTAATAAATAAAACAAATATATGAGCCTGTTTATAGCATGTGTAGCATACAAATGCCAATTTATAAAATACTATGAATACTGATATTAGTATTATTATTATTGATATTAAGATTATCAAACTGTTATAAAAATAATAACATTAAAGATAACAAAATACTGCAAATGAAACTTTTAAAAAATCAAGGAAAAGGGTAAACAGATGAGATAGGTAAGACTATTAACTGACTCCTTGGTGACTAAGCACTTGTAGAGCCATCAGTGGGTATGGCACTGTATTCTTGCCATGTGCACTGATTGGGTTAAACAGTTTAAATAGGTAAGACTATTAACTTACCTGTCAAAATTACTTATCAGATTAAATTACAGATGAAAAAAGAAACACCACACATTCCTGTCAGTATTGGACTAAGACTGACAAAGAAAAAAAAAGAACCAAACAAAAAGAAAAAGAAAAAAGATAATATTCACGCAATCATAAACCCAAAATTCCTTTCATCACAATACACATTTAACCCTAACAACTCAAAAAGAAATCAAGAAATAAAAATAAATTGGAAAAAAAACAACAAAAAAAACCTGAAAACTTACCCCTTAAAGGAATAATAATCAATTTGTGTGTGAGCAGCCGACAGGTTTACAATGGCTGGGCAGAGGAGGAGGGCATTGTGCAGTAGTCGGGAAGTGATGCCCCGGCCAGTGTCCAGGACTAAAGTGCTCACCGCTGCTCCTACCCGAGGCAGCACCCATTTCACCAGGCTGGGGAGGGAGAGAGAGGTGAGGTCAAATAGCTTTTAAATACCAGCAATTTGGTTGTAACTTTCCCATACTCACTAAACAGCACTGATATTGCTGTTAATATTTATAAATATCTAGTCTACTGTATATGTGTAAGTAAATGTTTATCTACAGAATATCTTTAAATATATCTATATCTATATCTATACCTATACCTATACCTATACCTATACCCATACCAATGCCTATACATATATCTATACCTATATCTATATCTATACATATATCTAGTTACATATTTATGTATGTATGTATGTATGTATGTATGTATGTATGTATGTATGTATGTATGTATGTATGTATGTATGTATGTATATATGTATGTATATATGTATATATGTATGTATATATGTATATATGTATGTATATATGTATATATGTATGTATGTATTCATATCTACAGCTATCTATATAGATATATAGATGAATGGATTGAGATATACACATATAGACACAGTACATAGTACATAGACAGCTAGAACAATTGGATGCATGTAAGAATATATATATATATATATATATATATATATATATATATATATATATATATATATATATATATATATATATATATATATATATATACATACATACATACATACATACATACATACATACATACATACATACATACATACATACATACATACATACATACATACATACATACATACTTTCATGTTTGCTTATTCATAAGGATATAATAATAATAATAGCAATATTCACTATCACGGCTCTAACAGTTACAGAAACCAAAGCAACAATAAAACAATACCACACATGACAAAATACCAACCTTTCCATTACAAAACATTCCTTATCTGCCTGTGGGTCTCGCTCTTCCTCAGCTTCATCAATGTCAGCATCTTCATCCCACTTTTCAAGGTATCTAGAGACTTTCCCAGATGCTGCATCCTCAAGTGCATGGGTGAGACCCACATCATGCCACTTCCAAATTCCTGAAGACAAAGGTTTTGATATAATAATGATAAAGCAGAAATTATGAGACATTAAAAGAATCACAATCTAAGAGAACATAGAGAATTTCCAACACTGCACTTATCCAAAACTGCTTACCTCTGGCCCACTGCACAGGGTATATTGCCTTCCACAGAGGGGGTGAGAAGGCAGCATTATTCCAGGCCCAGCACACCTGAGCACATTGTCCTAATTCAGCAGGACTCAGGTAGCTGAAGATCTCAAGAAGAATCTCTGTGGGGACACTTAGCGCTGTAACTGGTTCCAAGTCTGGGGGGTAGTCTCCCTGTTGTGGTGGTATTTCAAGTGTTGGAGAGGCACACACTTGGTCATAGCATTGCTTGGACAAGCAGTCATCTCTGAATCCATCCTCAAGTTTGTGGCATTGTCCTTCAGCCTCACAGGGATCCCAGAGGGAGCAAAGGTCCAGGTTTAGGTCTCGCAGAACCTTCACATTTCTGTTGGTCTCTGGTTCCTCCTCTTGTGCCTTCTCCTGTGACTGGCGCTCCTTGACTAGCTCATGCTCCTTCAGGACTATCTCTTTCAGGATCTTTAGTTCCTCATATTCAAAATACTTCACTAACAACGGCTGTCAAAAAAGGGTATGGTCAGTGATGCTAGTTTCCAAATATTTACCATTACAATAGAATTGGAAAATGAAACTACATCACTAGTATTAGAAAGAAATTACTGACTATGAATAAAGAGAGTTTCTAAATCAATTAGGTATTCAAGTTTAATAACTATTAAAAAACATTAAATTCTTATAAAAAATAAAAATATTAAAGTTGTAGGTGTGTCTTAATTCACGACTCCCTATCCCCTTATCGAAACTCAAAAGCCTGTAATGTTTAAGTTCAGTCAAAAGACTTATTTGTGAGTTCCAGTCTGCTGAGTAGGTCAAGCACAAAATAATAACAGTAGCATAGTTTTCTGCAGGGTGTGCCAATTGTTTAGATAATCTGTAAATCACTAATGCACTCATCCCTCAAGATTCAGTTACTCATCTTAATGTCCACACTTGCCATACACTTGTCCCACAAATGGACGACTCATTTGCTTGATCTTTTTCCAGAGATGTGTCACTACCTTCATGTTTTAAGCTTAGTAAGAAACATTTATGTCACAAGACACAGACAATTAACAAATGATTATTGATAGGTTGACCTGAGGTATACAAGTTTCCTACCAGATGTCTTCGGAGACACCATCAAGTAGGTAGGGGATAATCTGCACAACTCCTAGCATCTTAAATAGAAGGGGTCCTTGGCACTGAAATAGTCTGG